ACCATTAGTCTTGCAAAATATCTCCTGGCTTGGCCAGTATTGGCGAGGAGATGTGTTAATTTCTTCTTTTCTGCAGCCATTCACAGGTAGGCAGGGTCAGATTGTCTCCCTAGGAGCTGAACAAAGACCCTTTAGTTTAGTATTCAGGCAGAGGGGCAGGGTTCCCTGAGGCAGATTATAATAACAAAAGCAACGAAAAGCAAAGGTTACAGTAAAAGAAACAGATCCAACATGGAGTCAGATTTTGCTCTTCTCTGTTACACACGTAATGGAGATCAGGAGGGGCTGCCCAGGTGTGGTGGTGTTCCTGGTTCTTGCTCTCTTCACCTGGCTCACTCCTACTCATCCTCCAGAGATTAGTTTAGACGTCATTTCCTCCAGGAAGCCTTCCCTGGCTCCACCCCTCACCAGCTGGCATTTCGGAACCCTTCCCTGTACCCCCCAGGCTCCCAGTGAAAGCACTTACTGGCAGCTCACCTCTCCACTGCCTTCCCAGTGCCCGGGACGTAATCCCCCTCACCTCTGGATAAGGATATGGTTAGTTTATTTTGTCAATTTGACTTTAGAACCATTTCAATGTTTTATATAATTATAAAACACATTGGAAAAAGTAATTCCTAAAATTTAATAGCAAACTGTTATGAACCTAGTATATTGAGTTACTGGTATAACCTCTTGGAGAAGAGACTTTATTTACCCATACAGTATTTTTACTCTTTTTCTTTCTTCCTTCCTGATATTTCAAGATTCCTTTTTTTTTTTTAATTTTTAAAATTTCCTGTCTCTTTCAAGAACTTCCTGTATCCATTATTTCAGGGTAGATCTATAACGACGAGTTCTCTTAGATCTCCTTCATTCTAGAATATATTGATTTCCCTTCATTTCTGAAGGATATAGAATTCTGAGTTGATACTCTTAAAAAATGTGCCACTTTCTTCTGGCCAAGAGAAATTGACAAGCTTATTCAAAAATTAATATGTAAATGCCAAGATTATACTGAGAAGCCAAAGCAATCTTGGAAAAGAAAAACAAAGTTAGAGAACTTACACTAGCTGGTTTCAAAACTTGCTATAAAGCTACAGGAATCAAGACAGGATTAAGGACCTACTGTATAGCACAGGGAACTCTGCTCAATATTCTGTAGTAACCTAAGTTATTATTCTGTTCCCCCTTAAGTGGGAAAAGAATTTGAAAAAAATAGATACGTGTATATGTATAACTGAATCACTTTGCTGTACACCTGAAAGTAACACAACATTGTTAATCAACTGTGCTCCGATATAAAATAAAAATTAGTAAAAAAGACAGGATGGAATTGGTATAGGATAGATATCTCAGTGAAAAAGAATAGAGTCCAGAAATAAACTCTCACATCTATTGTCAATTAATTTTTTAAATTTTATTGAAGTATAGTTGATTTACGATGTTGTGTTAATTTCTGCTGTACAGCAAAGTGACTCAGTTATATATATACATATTCTTTTTCATATTCTTTTCCATTATGGTTTATCACAGGATGTTGAATATAGTTCCCTGTGCTATACAGTAGAGCCTTGTTGTTTATCAATTCTGTATATTGTCAATTAATTTTTGATAAAGCTTTCAAGTAATTCAGTGAGGGAAAGGATAAATTTTTACGGTTGTGTTAGAACAACTGGATAGCCATATGCAAAAAGATTAATTTAGACCCTTACCTCACACTGTACACAAAAATTAACTTACATTATTATGTAACTTATATAATAATTAACTTACATTATTACATTAACTTACATTATTATACATTATTATACATTAACTTACATATTATAACTTACAATTAACTTACATTATTACATTATATCATAGACCTAAATGTAAGACCCAAAACTATAAAATTTCTAGAAGAAAGAATCTTTATGACCTTGGGTTAGGCAGCAAAAGCAAGATTCATGATAAAAAATTGGTAACTAAAACTTTTGCTTTGCTTTTCAATAGACACCATTAAGAAAATGAAAAGACAAGCTACAGACTGGGAGATAATATTTGTAAATCCTATGTCTGATAAAGAACTTGTTTCCAGAACCTATAAGGAACTCTTACAATTCAGTATTAAGAGGACAAGCCCAACTTTTTTTTTAGTGGGAAAAAGATTTGAATGGACCTTCATCAAAGAAGATGCATGACTGATAAACACATGAAAAGATGCCCAACATGGTTAGTCATTAGAGAAACGCTACTTAAAGCCAAAATGAGATACCACTGCACACCTACTAGAATGGCTATAGTCACAAAGACTGAACATACCAAGTGCTGGAAAACTGGAACTCTCTTCCATTGCTGGTGGGAATATAAAACACACATTGCTGGTAGGAATGGAGAATGGCACTGACACGCTGGAAGACAGTTTGGTCATTTTTTTTTTTTTTTTTTTTGCTGTGCCACACAGCTTGTAAGATCTTATTTCCCTGACTGGGGATTGAACCTGGGCCCTCAGCAGGGAAAGTGCAGAGTCCTAACCACTGGACTGCCAGGGAATTCCCTTTGTTGTTTGTTTGGGCTTTTTTGGGGTTTTGTTTTTTTGTGTTTTGGGTTTTTTTTTTAGTTTGGGCATTTCTTAAAAAGTGAAATATACTCTTACCACATGACTCCACAATCTTACTCCTAGGGATCCTCCCAAGAGAAATGGAAACATATATCCACACGGGACTTGTATGCAAATAATTATAGCAGCATTATCCATAATAGCCAAAAATGGGATGTGGTCCATCCATAGCATGGAATACTATTCAGCAATAAAAAGGAATACATTCCTAATGCATATTACAACATGGATGAACTTCTAAAGCATGATGCTAAGGGAAAGAGGCCAGACACAAATATATGTTGTAATGATCCTGTTTCTAAGAAATATCTAGAAAAGGCAAACTCTAGAATAAGCAACAGGTCAACTGCTGCCTGAGGCTGGGGATGGGAGTGGGGGTTGACTGCAGACAAGCAGAGGGCACTTTGTGGGTGATGGAAATGTTCTAAAACTGCATCGTGGTGACGCCTGCACAATTATAGCGATTTACTTTAAAAAGGAAATTTACTTTAAAAAGTGACATTTTTACAATGGAGGAATTGTATAGTATATAAATGGTATAGTATATAATGGTATAGTATTATATCCCAAAAAACAGTTCTAAAAAGAAGCAGCAACGACAGTCTAGAGTCACGTTGGAAACGCAGACTTGAGCCAGACTGCCCAGGTTCCAGCCCCAGCGGCTGTCACTCACTATCTCTGTTGCCTTGAGCACGCTACTTAACCTTTTTCTCCGCTCACTTTCCCCGTGAGAAGCCCTGACACACGAGCTCACTGCTGTTATTGCTGTCACCGCCCTCTTCTTTCTCCAGGCTCCTGCTCCATTGACCCTTTTGCTCTTTCTTTAACCTGTCAAGCTAATCCCTACCTCAGGGTCTTTGACCTCAGTGTGTGTGAATACTCTTCCCCCAGGATGTTCCCATCCCTGGCTTCCTCTTATCATTCCTGGCTCAGCTCAAATGTCATCTCAGAGGTCTTCCCTGACCACCCTACCTGAAATGACACCACACTCATTCATTCATTTACTCATTCATTCACTAAGTAGCATCTTCTAGTAGTAATAGTAGTAGTAGTAGTATCACTTTTATCCCCATTTTACAGGTGGGACAACTGAAGCTCAAAGAGGAGAAGTCATTACACTCATTCATTTAATTCAAAACATAATTATTACCACCTTACACTCTTTAGAATGGCTACAATTAAAAAAAAAACAGAAAATAAGTGTTGGCAAGGATGTGGAGAAATCGGAACCCTTGCTCACTGTTGGTGGGAATGTAAAATGATGCAACCACTGTGGAAAAACAGTATGGCGGGTCCTCAAAAAGTTAAAAATAGAATTGCCAAATGACCCAGCAATTCTACTTCTGCGTGTATACCCCAAAGAATTGAAAGCAGGGTCTCAAAGAGACATTTGTATACTTGTGTTCATAGCAACATTATTCACAACAGCAAAAAGGTAAGAGCAAACCAGTGGCCATCAGCAGATGAATGGATAAACAAAAATGGGATATATATACACTATGAAATACTATTCAGCCTTAAAAAGGAAGGAAATTCTGACACGTGCTGTAACATGGATGAACCTTGAAGACATTATACTAAGTAAAATAAGCCAGTCACAAAATGATAAATACTGTAGGACTCCACTTATATGAGTTCCCTGGGGTAGCCAGATTCTTAGAGACAAAAAGTAGAATGGTGGTTGCTAGGGGCCGAGGGGAGGGGGTGAAATGGGACTTACTGTTTAATGGGCATGTGGTTCTAGTTTTGCCAGATGAAAAAGGTTCTAGAGATGGATGGTGGTGACGGTTGCACAACGTTGTGAATGTACTTAATGCCCCTGTACTTAATGCCACTTAATACACTTAAAAGTGGTTAAAATGATAAAAAATAGACAAACAGCAAGGTCCTACTGTACAGCACAGGGAACTATATTCAACATCTTGTAATAAGCTATAATGGAAAATAATCTGAAAAAGAATAGATACATATATGTATAACTGAATCATTTTGCTGTACACCTAAAACTAACACAACATTGTAAATTAACTATACTTCAGTTTTTTTAAAAAAATGGTTAAAAGGGTAAATTTCATGTTATGTACATTTACAATTTTTTTAAATAAATAAGTTTTAAAACATAATTATTGAGTACCAGAAACTGTGTTGGGTGCACTCTCATTTATTTCTCACCTGAATCCTTTGAAGGTGTTATTTATATTTTATTCATTAATATTATTAATTTATTATTAATTAAAATATTATTCACATTGTTCATTAATTCATTGAGAGAACTGAGGTTCAGAGAGGTTGCCAGAGTCACAGGTTCCATCCCAACCTGTCGGAGGACCTCAAAGACCCCACCTTTCTGCTGTGTCTTTCTCCTCCATGTCCCTCTCTGACTGTAAAAAACCTCATCTGTCCCTCCTTCCTGCAGGCACTGCAGGGATCTATCAAGGAGCAAATGGACTGACCAACGCAGCTGGCTTTGGAACTGTGCACCAGGTAGGCAGAGCTCCCCACCCTTAAATAGTCCCTTTAAATCCAGGTACGCAGAGAACCCCCTTGTACCTATGAGCCCTACCAGAAACCGTGTCTCTGATTCCCTGGATTTGGAGAATGCAGGGGCCAGACTGTACCAACAGCCGTTGGAAAGATACAGTGTAGAGGCAGAGAAATTGGAATTGCTGGCAGATTTCCAAGATGACATGGGCTGCGTCATATGTTCCATCTTGATCTGAGTCTAAGACACCCATTGACTGTTGAATCTGGGATGGATGGATGCAATAACCTGTGGTCTTTCACCAGACCCCAGGCTTCTCCAGGGTGAAATTATATCTTCTTCGCCTCTGCGTCCCAGTGTCGAGTGCCCGACACAGAGTGGGAGCTTTATAAATGCTTGTTAGATTGAATTTAGTCAGCGCCGTGAAGATGGATGGATGCTGGGTAATAGTCTGAGTCTCTTGGTTTCACTTAGAGAGTGAATTAAGAATTAACCCGCTAAAGGTGGACGGGAACTCTGTGCACTATTGGTGCACCTTTCCTGTAAGAAGCTTCCGTGAGCTGCTTGCAGGGTGGAGAAGCACTGCTCTGTGGTGGGGCCGAACATTTGAAACAATGACTGTTGTCAGGGAGCTGGACGATCTGGTCGGTTTAAGCAAAGCTTGATAAAGAAGATCGGCATTCTTCACTTTCATCTCCAGGACTCCCTCATGGGAGAGTCTGGATCCCTAAAGCTGTGTAGGCGCCACTGTGTTTGCACAACACCCCCTCCCCCACCGTGAACCTAAAATGTCACCTAGTCTCCGGGGTATGTGTATGTGGTCTTTATTACTCATTCATTTGTTCACTAATTTTTCCAGTATTTATTGAGTGCCCATACGTGCCCAGCACAGCCGTGACCAAGACGGATGCTGTCAGGGCCATGTGCGTGTCCCTCAGGGTGCACCTGTTGACCTCTAGCTGCCAGGCTCTGCACCCCTGGGCCCAAGGGTGTTTTCTGGAATCAATGTATACAGCAGGCAGGAAGTGCCAGGGAATTAAGTGTTCCCTGGGAGCAGCTCTCAAGCAAAGACTGGCTGGACTTGGTATATAAATACCCCAGCTCCCTTGCCCCTTGGGAGAGATCTTTCTGAGATGTGTTTTCTACCACCCTAGCATCTCCCTGGTAGAATTCAGCTCCAGTTCCCACTGGAGAAGCCCCTGTGCTGGCTGCCTTCCCTTCTCCCCTTTGCTGTCTCGCTTCCCCACTCCCCAGCTGGTCTCTCCTTCACGCCCCAAATCCGCTACTTGCACTTGAATCCTTGTCTTGGAGATCTGCTTCTAGGGAAAGCCCCTAGAGCTTTTATTCTATAAAGAGCCCCTAGAGCTTTTATTTTTATAAAAGCCCTCATAGAGCTTTTATTTTAATAGTGGGGAGACAGGGACAGGCACAACAGACCCAGCCCGGGAGGCCCCTTACCCACATCAGCCTGACAGCCTTCCTCGTGGGTTTCCCTCTCCAGGACTATCCTTCCTACCCCGGCTTCCCACAGAGCCAGTACTCCCAGTATTACAGCTCGTCCTACAGCCCTCCTTACGTCCCGGCCAGCAGCATCTGCTCCTCTCCCCTCTCCACGTCCACCTACGTCCTGCAGGAGGAACCTCACAACGTCCCCAGCCAGAGTTCTGAGTCGCTTGGTGGTAAGTACAGTCACTGTCGTGTGGTCATTCCTGGCTGTGGTCTGAGCTCTTATATGAAGTATGGACTGGACATAGGTCCCAGCTGTAAAGAACCAGTCACCCAAGAGCTAACTTCATCTTTTGTTGGCTTTTCTTTGTGTGTGTGTGTGTGTGTGTGTGTGTGTGTGTGTGTGTGTGTGTGTGTGTGTGTGT